ATCTGGATGCTTTCAGATTAACTGTTGAAAAGTCCTCTTTCTGGAGGACACCCCACCACCGGGGCCGTTGCTGTTTCAGGTGCTCCACGCCTGCTCGCTCTCCTCCCCTCACACCGTGAGTAACCCAGGCCTCTGGCAATGATTAATTTAAACAGCATAAAACCTCTTTTCCGCTAATGAAATACGATAAATAAATATAGTTATTCTTTCATTACCGCACTCTCTAGCCATCTGAAAATACTTCACTCAGCTGACAGAAATGATGCAAAGTTCCCATTTCCTTGAAGTAATAAAGGGAAAGGTTTCTTTAATAAAATGTGAAGGGGTAACTGCCAGATGCACAGTTTTGGAGGCTACCGTCTACTGGAAACACAAGACATGGCCCTCGAGTCCAGACTTGTGCTCTGAAGACGCAGACAAGTGGGCTAGAGGAGGGCAGTATCGCCACCAAGCAGCTCTGGGAAATTCAGAGCAAATCACTTTCTCAACAAATACCATCTTGACTCCTACTCAAAGACTGCCTGAACAATGGGTAAGTCTGAAGACACTGGTCATTTGTGAAATTTTCCTATGACATTTTACTCTGGTTCGCTTAGGGTGGAGTGCAGCTCCAACACCCATGTGCAGACCCGGTCAAGGCACGCCGTGGTCCCCCGGGCCCCACATGTCCTGCTTTCCTCCCACCGAAATCAGAGCTGGTGTGCGCTGGGTCTCAGCAAGGCTCGGGGCTCGTCACCCATCCAGGAGGTGCAACACCTGCCCAGCCTGTGACCGGGAACCGCTCCTGCCTGGAACAACAACCAGTACTGTTAGCTGGGGGAGCGATCTTCCAAAATACCAGGCTTTGCCCAAACCCCGTTCCCACTGAAGACGCCATGAGCATTCCCATCGATTTCACTGTGGCAAGAGCTGGGCCAGTGCCTTTTATGACTCCATCCTATAGTTTGAAATATTTCTTGTCATGCAGTCAAACAGAATAATTGTACCGGCATTTAAATCCGACAGGAAGGCATGGCCAAATTCTTTTCTGGCTCATTTAACCTTCCGAATGCCAGAATTCGTACGGAAGTTTCTATAAAGCCTGTACAGTGCTGTGTCAGACACAATCCTTTCCCATACAAGAGATTTTTTCCAGGATATACACTGAAGCAGATGAATTTAAAATTTAGTTTCTGTGAGCAATTGTGCAGGTAAAATGTAACTGCCTAAAACCAGACATAGCAAGGAAGCGCAATCAGGAAGAATTTGTGTTTAAGTTTCTGTAAACATTTGGGGCTATGTTCTGGGGGGGGATTTTCTAACTCTTGTTTCCTTTCACTAACGATTTCAAAATAAAGTACAGATTACTCTTCACAGGGTTTTCACTCGTGCCCTGACATGGATGTGCAGGCAAAACGCTTGTGCGCCATAGTGGTTAAAGACATCTGACAAAAATATAGTGATGTATTTTGTATAAAAAAAATAAAACTCCAGACCTATAAAGATGTTTGACTTTGTTGTCCTCTAATGTTAAGCCTGACCATACTTACTAAAAGGATGATGAAAGGATGCGGAGTAATTGAGATTTAATGGCATTTCTCCTTCAAAAAGCTTAAAGGTCTGGTCTGTAAGTGGGCTCTAGCCCCTCTGCGCTGAGGCAGCTGCTCCTTCTGCAAATTCTGCCCCACCAACACGTGCGAACAGCTCAGTGAAATCAGAACAGCCTCATATTAACTGTCTTTTAAAGAAAAACTGCTCAGCTATATTCTCTTCAGCCTTAATTACCTTGAAATTACTTTGATGAGAACAAAGTGGCACATTTTTGTCTGGTGCTGAGATCACTTAAAATGGGACATGGAAAACAAAAATTGTGTATCCTGAGGGATATTGCAGGTTTTGCCTATAATAATTACAATAGCTTCCATTTTTTTTTTATGCCAAGATTTCACATAAGTAGTACTACTGCTAAATTTTAGTCACTTAATTTTCATTTGTTGCTATCTTAATTGTTACGGAGTGCTCAGATTTGTAAAGTTGTGTCAAGGTGTAAAACACGAAAATGTGTTCAATATATGCCTTCAATAATTTCTTTGTTGTTTGAAAACTTCCAACTTACAGCAAAGCTGGCATTTTATGGCCTGCAGAGCTATAAATCATTTTTAAAATCATGATGATATTACTCAAAACAGATGTGAAAACATATGTTTGCCACGGCTGTATAAACCGCTTACTTGTCATACTTAATAAATGTTGATACTTTTATTTTAACTACATTCCTTCTTAATAACTTTGAAAATCTTTTCCATGGTAAATATATTTTGCCTTAGTAAAAGTAATGGCAGGTTTTGAAAAACAAAGCCTGTTCTGTATACAAATTATACGTCTATTTTTTGCTGAGCAACCCAGCACAGATCCCACTCTTCAGTGGCCGTCCACATCTGCCTATGAAGAACATCCGACATATTTGAGGTGCACCAGAGCCCAAAATAATTACACAGGAGAGAATAGTAATAGCATTAGGAAGAAAAAAATCTATATGGGAGTGAGTGAGACAAATCATTGAGGAATAACAGCGCTTGTATGGGGTGACAGGGGGGCCCAGCACGCCCAGGCATCGACTCCGTCCCACTGGTGCAGCCCATCAATTACTGGGTGCTTGTAGCCTCTAAAAGAGAGGTTCCTACAGGAACCACAATATAGGTCTCTCACTCTGCCAAATGCAATACCAGCTCGGAATTGTTGGATACGCAATGTCGGTGCCTTGAAAATGTCAGCATTTGTCCCATTATACTGTTGTCAAAAATGTTTCTGTTCTGGAGCCATGGGATTACTTGAAAATTACATCTTTACTTGACAAAAAGAAATAATTTCTCATTCTCTATTTTCAGAGAAAAACTTGACCTGTGCAGACCAAGCAGAAAACCAGAACCATTATTCTATCTTTAAAATGATAATTTAAAATGTCTCATGATTTTGAAGCACTTTTTTCTGATGCAGATGAAATCTCTGAACACCAAGTTCAACCTAAAGAAACCCTGTAAGTGCACGCAGAAGTACCACATGTATAGAGACTTATTTCCCAGTGTATAATCCAACTGAAGAAAGATAACATTATACAGAAATGTAGACCAGGAATGAACAAACCTATACAACTTTAATCTGAAGGTGAACTATGGTACACAAAATGTTAGCGTCAGATCTTTGTGATTTCGGACATGTTCGTACAAGGAACATTCAACAATCACAGGAGCCTGGGAATTGGGTTCACAGGTGGCGGGGTTTAAATTATTTTCAGGCTTTTGGGGATTTCTGTATTGTCTTTTCTGATTCTTAAACTCTACCTTCCTTCATCGGTCATGAGTGACAGAACTGCTACCACCAATAACTACATAATTTGCATCTTCAAACCCCATAGGATAGTGAATTGTTTCTCTGAAAAAATTACTAAATATGTGGCAAGAAACCATGCAGAGTTCAACAACAAATCAACTACACTTTCAGATTTAGCTTAAATACTCACCTATGTAATTCCTACAGAAATGTAATGTTTTAATCTTGGGAATGAAGGTATGGTTGATAACTGTTTGGCCTCTGGTGTTGGTGCATAAATGCCAACAGGAGTCAAGAGGGAAGGATTTAAGCATGATGATCCAGAAAGAAAATTATCTCAGAATGGCACAAAAGGGCTCTTTTGGGGTTCATGAGGAAAATGCTTAAATGCCTAGGGAAACCAGTGAATAGAAAACAGCTTCTTCTGCTTTCAAGAGGAGAGAGAGTTCAGTACAAAAATATAAAATATAGGAAGTTTCAGGCTCTTCCTACCCACACCTGGATCAGTCACAGATGTCTAAGGAATAGAGCTGGTCATACAAAATCATGAATCTGCTCAAATAATTTTACATAACTCTGGAACCACAGCACACATGGAGCCTCCAAATTCTCTTGAGTAGCTCATACAACTGTCTATACCCGTCTTTTTAGTTTTCTCAAAAAATACATTGCATACAGAGAGTGCAATCATTTATGCAGGTCTGATTTTTACAGATAACCTAAAATCATCTCAACCAAAATATAAATCAGTTCGTGTTTTCATTTATGATAAAAAGTTCATATTGACAGTAGACTTGTAAGTACATTAAGCTTATGTCGCCTCCTCTTTCGGTCACTTCCTTCTCTTTCTTTTCCTTCACATCTTTTTCACTCTGAAACCTTAATACGTCCCTCAGTAGATGCCTTTGCAGTATTTCTCCAGTATTTACTTACCTTCAGCTTTCTTTTCTTTCTTTAACTATATCCCATCTTCTTTTTTTTTTCGCAGGCCCTCATTTTGTATGGGGCTTTCTATCAGAATAAACCTCTCGCCTATTAATATGATTTATTTTTTTGTTGTATTTGCAAGGAGACAAAATGGCTTCTTGTTCCTTGCTGTGCAGCCACGAGATGCCACGCACTCTCTGTCGCTACGCCACCTCCCTGGGGCTCACCTGCGCGCACCAACGCATTCGTTTTGTCCGGTAGCCGCCGATCACTGCAGGGGGGGCCGAGCAGAGGAGGCACCTCCCAGCCTACGGGACAGTCACTCCAGGCCAAACGCCACTTCTTCCCTTGCTGCCCCTCACTTGTGAGCTAACGTAATATATTAGACACAAAAAACGTCTTATTTCCCTCACCTATGTACCAGCATTAGAGCACTCTGCACACACATCCACCAAAGGCAAAGAAGCAATACCATGTGACTAATCAAATATTTGCGAGGAACTCCATAAATAATTGAGTCAAAAGACCGGCAAAATATTAGCCCCATGCTATATAAACAGAGAGAAGCAAAGATCTGATTGTTTACACTTCCTAAGGAGAACGCCATGTAAATTCACTGGATACATTATTCATTGCAATTAGGCACTTCGCTCTCTTAAATTTATAATATGATGCCATCGCATATGCAGAATACTAGAAAAAGGAATAAAACACTTAATAAGGGTAATTAAATGCCTGCGGTGGAAAATAGTCTGTAATTTTACCTTTCTCCTTCTGTATTTTTTTTAGGCTGGTCCCAGTCTCTTGATCAATGAGTTCTCCTTCCCTGCTGTTGGTCAGCATAGCTAAAAAAAAAATCAGAGTGCACAGCTATATAACACTGTCAGTAAAATACGTTAGAAGAGAGGAAAATACTAAATTATATTTCCTCTCTGTCAATATTTTGGTATGTTAACATTCATTTATACTATATAAGTTCTAAAGCAATTGACCATTTTTATTGTCCATAATCAACCATTTCACTGTCCCAGTTCAGCACTCAGAGCCAAGCAAAATATGCAGCAAAAGCAAATTTGCTCAAGTTGATTAAACAACCATACCAAGATAGAACCCAAATTACTACTGAGATGAATGTGATTTCTCATGAAACGTTCAAATTAACTAATTAGAAAAGTACTTCGCAGAAATCATTTTGGGGAAAAATACATTTAAGGATTCAAGTATTAGTAATTATCTAAAAAGTAGCAAGCTTAATAAAAAATACAGCTAGACAGATAGTAACCCGAATTGATAGGTGACAGTGAAAAACAATGCGCTGTAGTGCTGAAAGAAATTCTTTACTTAACACCTGCAAGATCAGTGAGAGGTGTTAAGTTTATGATTTTAGAACGCCTACTTTCTTTGTTCTTATTTGATTAAAGCATCTCCTTCTCTGCAATTAACCAACTACAGAATCTACAGGTATTCCAGTGAGGACACTTGTTAAAAACTTTATCACCATACTTTAGGGAAAGCTTTTTTTTTGGGGGGTGGTTTTTTTTTTAAATCACAAAAGTAAAAATACATATATGTTTATATAGATACAAAGTATACATACATATCTTTACAACAGTAAGAGTTAGACTTCAACACAGAGAAATGTTTGGTTCTATATAAATAAAACCTGGTTTTCTTTAAAAAACTTCCAGCACCATTTCTGGAGCCCAGAGGCTTTGCAGTGTGTGCTACTACTATTAAGAAAAGAAGTTAGAGGAGCTTTCAAATGCTACAGTGAGGACAAAAGTCCCTTTTTCACTGTTGCTATAGGAAGTTACATTTCTTGTCCTGTATATTCCTAGCCCTCTTTTACATATGAAAAAAGCTGAGGGGAATGAATCTACTTTCTGGTCTCTGCCCTGTGCGTGCGTATGTTTTCGGCAAAGCAGTTCAGGCTCCACCGATTAGTTTGTGTAGAGCCAACTGCGCGACGCCGTGCCACGGTGCTGCTGCATGGACCACAGTCAAACCCACAAAATCCCAGCAAGTAGCTGAGTTATTTGGTGGGAGTGAAGTCTACGCTGACTTACGTGGACCGCACTGTTTTTGTAGTCTAAATCTAGCTCAGCAGTGCCTGCATCGGCTCCAGTCACTGTGAAGACAACAGTGTTGACATACACTGACACGAGAAGATGCTAATTGACTTGCCCCAGATCCCTCTTGGAGGCACCAAGAATAGGATCCAAACTTCCTCTAGACTGAATTAGCATTTTAAACACCAGATCAATAATGCACAGGCTGTGAAAGCTGTGGTGAAGAGACCAAAAAAAAAATCAAAAAGCCCTCAGCCTCGTGCTGATGAGGGAACGTGTGGACACGAGGAGGTTTTTGGAACGGAAAAGCCATCATATAATCTGTGACTTTTCTGACATACACATGAAGAAAAAGATATTTTGCTGTTTTCCAATTCCAGGTGCCTTCAGAGGCACTTTCTTACTCCAGCATGCAAGAGAAGCTGGTCATACCTGAGAAGGGGTGATACCTTCTGTGCCTGGGTGGATACTGGCACAGAATGAATCTGAGGGGCCGGGCTCTGCATAGTGATGAACCCAATAAAAAAAAAACCTCTAGCGATGAAGTTTCTGGGTTGTTTTTTTAGGATGTGCGCACTTTCCTGAGCTTCCCAGCAAAGAAATATTTGCCTCAACAAACTCCTAAAGTCCTTGAGGTCAGTAACTGCGAAGGGGTGTGACGCTGGAGAGCACTAACCAATTCTGTCTGGTGTGTTGTCCAACTGGGACGGCGAGCTGGACACGCTGCTGCTCTGATGGGAGGAAGCGTGGCTCCCAGGCCGCTGACTGTCTTCTAGGGACGGAGCTGGAGAAGGGCTGTCTTGAATCCTTTCCTTGAAACAGAAATAAAACAAGGTCTGTGCAATTTAATTCATGAACTTCACTGAAGCTCCATGAAAAAAGGAAGCTGGCTAAAGCAGAAATAACAAATGGTCTTCCTGAGATAGTGAACAGAATTCACATTGGAAGAGCGCTATAGCCTTCTATAGCCAAAAAGAGCAGAGCCTTCGACATGCAATGTATCTGGGCACAGCTTTTCATCCTTCGTGGCACGACACAGCATTTGCCACCTCTTCTTTTTTTTTTTTTTTTCTTGGTAACTTTTTATTTTCTAACTTTTTCCACACGTAAGAACATACAGAATGTTCTTTCACTTTATTTTCACAAACTGCTTCTAATCTACAGATAGTAAAACTGCCTGTATGAATCACATTTCAAATAAACAATTCAGATTTGGACTAAATAGTCACTAAATACAGTGAAATTTGTAAACTCAGTAGAATAAATTACATCAATATCTTCTCAGGGTAGCGCCCAGACAAATTTTAAAAGCTGTGGCACTGCTAAGAACTTCACTTTTGCATGAAAAGCACCACTGGCTACCAAAACTAAGAATGTGCTTGCAAATTCTTATGGATACATTTGCACACAAAACTTTGATATTCAGCTCTGATTTAAATATACATAGTACTTTAAGTAAGGAGAAAAAAAAGGATAAGAAATTATAAAAGCTTAGCAAAATTAAATCCTGCAGTTCTGTGTATCCATACTTGCAGATTGCCTGAAGATGCCATGGAGTTTTCATCAGTAAAAATCTTTAGGAAGAGGTTAGACAAGCGTGGCGTAAGTAATAATTCATCCTGTCTTGAGGAAGGCAAGAGATTATATGACCTCTTGAGACCCCTTCCAAGCCAGTGATTCCACATGTATAATTTTTCTGGATTAATTCAAAATTCTGGTGCCCTTCATTCCTGTTCCCAGGACCAACAAAAAATGAGAATCTAGATTTTTCTTCTAGAAAGGGACAGAACATGGCCTGCGATACTCTAGATATTCTTATCTTAAAATCCCTTCTATGTCTTAAATCCTCTATTAAAAGTTGTTGAAAGTGTCGTTCCAATGGAGACACACTAACAAGGAGCTGCTTGAAGTCACAGAATTCCAGAAGCTGCATCTTTGGAATTGCCCTCATCCCTGGCAATAGGCTGTTCCCTGGGAAAACTCTGAACTGAAATACGACTTTAACGGTTGGACTTGATGATCTTAAAGGTCTCTTCCAACCTAAACGATTCTATGATTCTATGACTTTTTTTTTTTTTGTAAAAGGGAGATCCTTTTGCCCCCGCCTCATTAAAAATCACAATTACAGTGTAAACTGGGGAAGTTGTCTCAAAGGAACTTTGCGATGTTTCTACCTTTCTAACCTCTTCTCAAAGGTATTTCATTAGGATTGTGCAATCTGGCTACTTGGTGGCAATTTACCATGTGCTTTTGAAAATAAACTCAATAGCATCTGAACTTTTTATGTAGTTTTTTGCTAGACAGTATGCTAAATCAATACTATAGCTTTAGGAAGAGAATGGTAGATTCTAATAGTTTTTCCATTATAAGTAGCTAGTGTAATAGCTTCTGCTCGTAACCTGTTGCGGCAATTCATTAATAACACTGGCAGTAAGATCGACATTTAAGAACATTCTGTTCCCCATTAAAACCATCTCTCTAAATCATGCTCATCTTCGTATTTACAGATCCATTTGAGAATGATGCAAAGGGAATGTGAGATTGGATCCTCCCAATAGCAAGAGGTGGCATTTGCCTATCCCAGTCACACCAGCTGAAAACACGGCATTGAATGTGTTTTTAATGGGATAGTTATTGTACACTAAATAACAACTGAGCCTCAAACTCATGTAACAGATGTGTATCTATTACATAGCTGCTAATCCTCAACGGATCTGTTTTCACTAATTATCTGTTATTTAATGAACATACAATAACTAATAAATCTTAAAGGTAGACTTTTAATTGCAGTATTTTTGAATGCTAATTAAAAAGTGTTTATTAAGTTTTAACAGACCTGCATCAACTATGTTGAGTCACAAGTTCTTAAAATTTTGAAAACTGAATGGTTTTAAACAAACAATTTTTCAAATTCTGGGGAGAAAAAAGTCAAAGTGACTGATCTTAAAACTCTCTTGTGTTTTCTTCTTCTCAGGCTCCGAAAGACTGGTTTTAGAGGGGCGGAAGAGTCATGACTTACTCTGTGGATGGGTTGCTTATGAAGTTACTTTTAGAAGTCACATTCTTACCCCAAGAAGTATTCTCCTAAATAAATGATGAATCCTATGCATGCAATCCTGAGCTTATAAGCACCGCATGTCTTTTACCTTTGTGTAAATAACAGCTTCCAAATAGGTTGCTGCTAGCAGGCTACAACTCTTGACTGTAATTTTATTTGCCTGGATTTCAGTTTTAATGGTGCTCTTTGGCACTATTTCCCCTCTTTCTACCACAAAGAGTGCTCAATTTACAATTAAGATGGCATTTTGAAATGATTATTTTTACAGAAGAGTACATAGTTTAAGTACATTTCATTGTCTATTGCAACCATGAAAATGAATAGCCAAGGAGAGGACATGCCAACTGTTCTGCAAAAAAACCTATGAACAGATATGACTAAGAATTAACACTTAGATATCACACAAACAGCCATATATGTCATCTTAAATGGGAGTTATCTGAGTAATTCAAAAGCTGATGATTTGGAAAAGCAAAGTATTCGAGCTCCTTCTGGTAAATGCATTTCCCATTGTCTCTTGCTATAAAATAATCTCTGCTTCAAGTAATTTGCCTTCAAACTCAGGGTCTTGGTTTGAAACGTTCAGGCAGAAATAAAAGTGTCAAATAATAATGTCATTCTTAATCACACAATGAATCACTTTCGAAGAGAATTAGTTGATTATGTCATCTAACGTCTTACCAGTTCCAAAAATTTACATCTACAGGGAAGATACACTTTTCCCTATAGGCAACACAGGAGCTGAAATTTTCTTTGTACGATATGTACTACAAATGACAACAGAGCATCATCATGTAAGCCTGCATACGGATCGATAAATTGTCTATTTCTAAATGTTTGCGTGGAAACGTAATGCTGAATTTCCCCTACTATAACGAATAACACTACGAACAGACTCTTTTTTTTGCAAGTAAACAGATCCATTTTTCAGTCCTGTAATCAGTATGCATCTATTTAGCTACTTAACAGCAATGTGCTCTGGTTCATTAGGTAGCTACTGTTGTGTCTCAGCCTAGTTAAAATTTCACAGCAAGTTAATCTATTTTATTACAAATGAGAACACAAGTGATAATGTCCTCACCATTTTCCAAACACAGGGTTAACAGTATTTGTAACAAATCAATGAGGGCATTTAAATAGGAAAATTGCAAATCTAAAACCTTTTTTTTTTTTTTACACATTGACGACTTCATTTTATTTATCACTTATGTATTTTACAACCTTGTTACTTTTCATATATTTTTTTTTTCCTCTTTGAAACAGCTCGGTTCCCACCGGCACACTGCTGTGCAGCCTGGTTCTACGGTAGGCACATTCACATTAATAGAGAAGCACTTCTAAATAAAGTAATGTTTTCTCCATTTGTATTTCTTCCTATTTCATAAATTTGCAAGATTCATATTCCAGGTTAGAATGTAATGAATTATATACATAAAATTTACAGATTGTGAGAATTTTATGAAAAATGAAAACATTTCTCAAGATCTCACCTATTTATCTAACTGTAGTACCTACTTTATCTTACCTTTTCTCTTCCCTTTACAGAGCCGTAACATAAATTCTCAAAAAAGACTTTTGCAGTATTTAATCCTTTTGAAGGGTAATATATTTCTGTCTCACTAAAGATCAGTGTCTTGCTTTGGCTCAGAAAATGTAGCTACAAAGCTTGACATTGTTAATTTTAGTTGTGATTTAGGTTAACGGCACTGAAGTCATCAACTCATCCAATTTCCAGATCCATCCTTGATTTCACCTCAATATCCCTCTCCTGTCCCCCGTGAGGTAGCGTTCCACACAAATAATATGAAATGCTCCATAGCAGTTGCATCCGCACTAGTTTTATTTGATATATATATGAACAGCTTACCTATTTTTGACATAATCATCTTGACCTTAATTCCTTACCTCTGATTTTTTTATAGCATTGATCTTCATTTTGTGTCAAGAGTTTAGAAAAATGATGCTGCTGGATTTTCCTTTAGTTTTCTTTATTCTTAGTTCTAATCTAGCTGTAATTACTCTTCCAAATGTTAATCTATTAATGAGTTCCTAGAGGATTTAATGGCATTTCACTGCTGACAAGCAGGTTTTGGAAGTTTGTCTGAGTCCTCGATATTTTATTCAGACATTTATCTTGATATTTCATATTTAATTGAGGTGCTGCTTCTGTACTCGACAGGGCTCTGCAGTGGCAGGAAAGCTGGAATTCACCAGACCTCGCTAATGAAACCGAGAGGAAGGAAAAATGAGGATTCTACTCTCTTTAGGTCTAGACTAGAGTTTTCAACTATTGTAACAAAGATTCAGAGCTGATGACCAAGTTGGAAAAACAGAAGAGTTCACAGCCTCTGGCAGAATATGTTTTCCAACATTAATTTGCACACTCGTTCCCCGCTGGAACGTTTATTGTGCCACACCTCCACCTCCCAGTGCTTGCCAAACCACCGCTCAGATTCTCAAAAGGGACTACACAGTTAAAAAGCTCTAGAAGCCAGCGTCTCATTTCTCTGGAGGGGTCTGGGAGGCCAGGAGCAGTCAGCCAGCAGACTGGCTCCAGACCTCCTCACCTCCTGTCCCGAACTACCACAATTTCATGCCTGCGTTATCGCTGCTCCTATCTGCAAGGTCCTATCTGAGAATTCCATCCTCAGTAAGACAGAAGAAAAGTTAACACAAATTCAGTTAGCAAAGAACTGAATTGCTTTTTTTTTTGTTAATGCTAAGACACTTCTTTCCAATTGACCTTAGTTGATA